TGTGCTCACAGAGAGCCCGATGCAGGGCTTGAACTCACAAACTATGAGATCGTAATCTGAGCCAGAGTCAGACACTCAACTGATCAAGCCACCTAGGTGTCCCTAAATAATACTATTCTTATCAATAGAACTACTTGATTCATTTACTAGGTCTTTAGTTTTGTGTGGCATACATATAATTACCTTACTAGTCTCCTGCTGAGGTACATCTAAAGCTGTTTCTAGTATTTTTATTACAAACAGTGCATCAGTGGCTGCCTTTATGTAAAAATCTTTGGCACTTGTGTGAAAGTCCTGGGAGAACAAAGTTCCCGTAGGTGCAGGCACAGAGTGACAGGCACTGAATCACCTGGTGGATGCATCACAGGGGCAGCGAGGCTGCCGTGGCTACCACGGCGTGAGTGGATGGAGGGCGCAGACTGATGGGGAAAGACGAATGAGGATCTGGACTGTTTACTTTTATGCCTTTTGTACCATTGAGATTTTTACCAGGAGTATCTACTCCTTCGTAGTACAAACTAAGAGTACATGCTTTGGACTCCTGTAGATCTGTGCTCCAGGCCAGACTTGACCATTCACCTGCCACCTGATCCTAGGCCGCTTGTTGTTCCTAAACCTGTTACGCAGCTCATGGTGTTGCCGTGAGCATCACCAAAAACTGGCTGATGGGTTGGCATTTCAGCTGTCTGTTTCCATGTACTAGACCACCCCAAAACATAGGCTGAAAGGAATGAACGACCATTAACCATCTCCCACACTTCTGAGGGTGTCTTCTGCTGCATGTAGTATCAGTTTGCATTATCCAGGGCCCTCCCAGACTGTGCTGCCCCAAATACTTCGTCTCCTACCTTACCGGGAACCAGCCAGAAAACTGGGCCTCAGGTTCTCATGCGCTCTCCCACCCGCTCTCTGCTCTCTAGAGTGCGAGTTATCTTCCTACAGCATAGCTCAGGGACCTCAAGGACGCAGACGCACCATGGTAAAGTCTTTGTCCCTGACACAGCTTTACTTCCACTGCATTCTGTTGAACAAAGCAGATCACAGGCCAGCTCAGATCCTGCGTGGGAGACTACACCAGGGTTGAATTCTGGAAGGTGTGTATGGTAGGGACCCTTTGAAGATTCTTGGGAAATTCTCATTTCATGCTGCCATTTTGAGTTTTTAGATCTGGACCAGGGCCCCGAGGGCTTTAATTTATTTATTCTCTATGACTCATAGGTCTAGTGAGTGTGAAAAACTATTAGGTTGATGGTCCTTGATTATTTACCCTGATCTTTCATCAAAACCCTTTATACGGACCAGGTGCCATTTATATAATTGACTTGCTCTTCCAGCAGGAGGCCAAACCAGGACTATGACCGGTGAATTCGCTTCAAAGCCGATTTCCGCCAAAAGGAGTGCATTGGATGTTTTCCAGGATGCAAGGTGTGGAGAAACTTTTCAATGTGAGGGTGAATCAGGACAGCAAAAGGTTCGACCCCAAAAGAGTAAAGCGACACAAATGTAAGGAGTGTGGGAAGGCTCAGAGCTCAGGGCTTGTTCGGCCCTGGAGAATCCACACTGGAGAGAAACCCTGTCAATGTAATCAGTGTGGAAAAGCTTTTTCATTTATAAATCAGCTCTCCATTCATACCAGGAAGTTCATAATAAAATAAAACGCTGTCGGTGTAATGAATGTGGGAAGGCCTTCAGGCAAAACAGGCCTGGTTCTTCATTGGAGAATCCATACTGGGAAGAGACCCTCTGGGTGTAAGGAGTGTCGTAAATCGATTAGTCAAAGCTCACACCTTCATGGACATTTGAGGATCCACACCAAGAGAAGCCCTTCAAATGTCACGGGTGTTGGGGGGCTTCAGTCAGATGTGGGGACATGTAACATCAGAGAAGCCACACAGGAGAGAGACTCTACCCCTGTAAGGAATGGGGAGAGCTTTCCGAGGGAGCACCAGCTTCACTCCGCACCTGAGGATCCACACTGGGGAGAAGTCCCATCGGTGTGAGGAGAGTGGATGATTCTTCATTCGGAGGTCAGGCCTTGTTCGCCATCAGGGGATCCACAGAGGGCAGAAGTCTGTGTGTCCTACCGGTAAGAAAGCCTCTAATCATGCATCAGGCCTTGCGGAACACAGACCCTATCACTGTGTGGTAAGCTGGGGACGTCGAGGATGTGGTATGTCCATCCCGTTGTTATTCTAGGCCATCAGACTTGAGTCTGATGTCACACATCCAGGTGAAAGAAGCTGGTGACCTCACGGGAGCAGACTGCTTGCGTCCTGCTGGACTCTGCTGGGGAGGCCACCCTCCCGCCTGCGCCTCCGGTCTCCTCCCTTGTGGTCCAGTCTGCCCTTCTGCTTCCTGAAGTCACGGTCATCATACACCCTGACTGTCCCAATGACGCAGGGGCTACTGCCTTGTGGGCAAGGAACCACTGAGACGTTAGTGTGTGTTCCCTGTGGAGGAGAACTTAGCAGGCTGAGTGGGGACGTGATCCTGTTTTGAAAGTTGCATGAATGAGGGGTGAACTAGGGAGTTAGATTTTCAAATGACTGTTCAGTGACATGACTTGCCCTTTTGTTCGTCTCCCCTTCACCCTGTTGGTGGGGGGGGGGGGCACCTGAGGATGCACAAACAGATGACACCTGGCACTGGATGGAGGGGATTGAATTTTCATGTTACAGTTTTGAGGCAAAATGCCTTCTTGGGCATTCCTCTTAAGGTCTTTAGCTGATTAGACAAGGCCCACCCAGCGGTGCGAGGATGGGAGGGAGGTCTCTGTGTGATAGGAACCCCTCCCTAAGGAAAGAGAAAAAAAGAAAAGACTTCAAGGTCACCTAGATATGCGCCTACATGCCTACATCCCCCATGGCCTTGTAAACTGAGAAAACTTAATCAGACTGCATGTTTATGTGTGTTACCATATATGTGAGACAAAGAAATAGAAAATGCATTTAAAAACTATGCCATGTGATGTGGGCCACTCAGTTCTTTAGGTACGAATCCAACTGAGCAGTGCCGGCACGAATAAAGTTGCTTCCTGGAAAGAAAAGCCTCCATGTCACGACTCTCTGTGCAAGAATCCTGCAACATCTGCTCATGTCAACTGATCCCAGATGTGAACTCCATCTACAAGGTCCCTTCTCCGCAGCAGCTACACCGTGGGAGCGTGATGCCACCGCAGAAGAGGGGCAGGGGGCAGTCAACCCCACAGATGTCCACGCCATCCTCCCGAGGGCGCCGGACAGCACAATTGGGTTGTGCTAGCTGCTCCCGTCCATGTAAATGCGTCTCACCGATGGGCCGAGCAAGGCCGGGAGCAAGCCTTCTCGGTGCAAGGGTCACAGGAAGAGCGTGAGCCTACCCTCCGGCAAAGACTGGGTACTGGGGTGGGTGGCAAGCGGTCGGGGGACGGGTCGTGACCGCACCGGCCGGGAGTGCAAGCCATAGGGAGGCCCAGACCTCCCGGTTCCTAAACCCGAAAGTAGGTTCTCGGGGATCCAGTTCCACGGACCACTCCACGCGTGGGCTCGCCGTGCAGCGGGGCGCGGAGAGCCTGGGCTCGGGGAGCTGATCGGACAGAGGGCTGGGCTGGATGCGAGGTAAGAGGGCACGGGGCGACCTTCTGCTCTGCCTGCCCAGCCGGCCCCTGGGGTCAGCAGCTCAAGCCGCTCACTGTTCCAGCTCACTGCCCCCGCGGGCCTGGAGTTACTCGCAGCCCCGAAGACAGGGCGCGCTGCAAATACCTGCCTCCGCAGCCTGGGCGCCCTGTGTCCCTAGATTGTCCCGGTCGGCTTACCACCGCCATCGTATTAAGGTATTAAGTTAACAGCCTTATCCAAGTTCTCTGCTGCCCCGGTCATTCTGTGTTTATAATACGTTCTGATCCCCCAGAGCCCAGAAGAGCCGACTCTGACTCTGCCCCGAGTCCAGCGAGTTTTGTCTGGAGTCTTCGCAGCCCGAGTTGGCTACAGTTTGTCTACAGTTTGGTGTAACCCTGATTCCTGTCGTCCACACTCCCCGAGAGCAGGAGGGTTTGCACATAGTGAACCGGGAAGAGAACATTTTGGGGAGCAGTCTACACTGTGTGGGAACGTGTGTCCTCTCCAAACTCTCACCAGCATTTCTGGCGCTTCTGCTGCCAAGAAGCCTCTGGGCCCCACGAAGAGCTAACAGGCTCCAGGACTGGCAGAAGCCGGAGCCAGACATGCATACCGAGGAGCGGATCCTGGAGCAGCTGGTGTTGGACGGTCTTCTCTGTCCCTGGGGAGCTAAAGCCGTTAAAGGGTAAGACACGCGGCGGGGAAGGGAGGGGGCTGCATGCGGGAGGTGCACGTGGCCGGGCGGGTAGTCACGGGTGGACAAGACTCGCTGGCACCCCCCGCAGCCATTTTACAGTGCGGTCAGGCCTTATCCTCTGGGAAGGTCTGGTCTTTCACTTCTCAAGGCCAGTGGTCCGCAAACCTCAAGGCCAGTGTATTTCTGCTACAGACCAAGGGACGTAGGTCAGCAAGCAAGGGGTGCATAAGCTTGAAGCAAGGTCACCCTTACACGGGCTGGAGCGCTGTTCCCACTCCCCCAAGGCTGTATGAGCTGATTAGAGCATCTAGTCACATAAAATGAGGTCAAGTTTTTGTTACTGTCATTGGTTTTTAGTAAATTACAGACCACAGCAAGGATAACCTGTTTTTACCAGACAAACGAACCTTAGGCTCAACAATTTTCCCTCGTCTATAAAAGATATTCCCGGAAAGTAAGCATTCTTATCGCCAATGCTGGATTCCATTTACTTCCTAGTATTTCAGACAACTGACAGAAACAGAAATGTACCTCAACGAAAACGACTTCACATTGCTAACGGCGCGTCGTGCTTTCCTAACCCGGTTGCGTGTATTCCGGGAGACGCCGGAAGTGGACGCGGGCGCGCGCGCCAGGGGGCGTGGCCTCCAGGAGCCGCCGGCGGTGCGCTGGGTGCGGCGGGGAAGCGCTTCCGGGAGCCTGGCGGTCGCTTCCGGGAGCCGGACGCTTGGCTCGTCCGGTGGCAGCCGAGCTGGACCAGCCGCCTGGAGTGTCCGTCGCGCTGGGGCCCTGGGCTCGGCATCCGAGGCGCGCGAGGGCGCGAGGCGTGAGGGCTCCTTGTTGAGAGCCGGGAGTGGGGCTCCCCGCTCCCCGTTGCCAAGCCAGCACGAACGAAGGTCACCGCTGTCGTGACCGCGGCTCCCGAGCGTTTCTCTCCCACCGGGTGGGGCGCCCGTGCGCGCGGACGGACGACCCCGTGCCGCCTCACGAGGGGTGGAAGCGTCTCCTGAGGCCAGGACGCCGGGTTCAGCCTTCCTCGCCCCTCCCCGCCTCCAGGGCCGCGGCACCGCCCCACGCGCGGGGTTCCGCTGGGAGTTGTTTGCTGACTGCCCCGCGGGGAGTGGACGCTGCAGGGCTCTTTGCTCTGCGCTGACGCGGTTCAAATACCTGCAACACTTTTCTACGCAGGGCGGCCTCTATGAATGCTTATTTGTGGATTTAGTGAATGAATAAGAGTAGTTCCTGTGGTCCCAGGCCCTCCGTCTGGCGAGGCTCTTCGCAGGATTTGCCGTTGACCCCCCCATCTAGCCCTGTGCCCGAGAGCGCCGTCAGCGGCCTCCGGGCGACGCGGCCGCAGAAGCCGGGCAGGATGGCTGCGGACGCCCGGGAGTCGGCTGGCCGGTCCCTGCACCCCGGGTGCGGTCAGCAGCGGCCTGCGGCGGTGACGGTGGAGCTGGAGGACGCCAGCCCCGGCAGCCAGGGTGTCCGCCTGCTGGACGACCAGCCGCCGGCCTGGGAGGGCTTCAGGCGGCGCTTCCGGGGCTTCCGCTACCCAGAGGCCGAGGGGCCCCGCGAGGCGCTGCGCCGGCTCCGCGAGCTGTGCCGCCAGTGGCTGCGGCCCGAGACGCACAGCAAGGAGCAGATCCTGGAGCTGCTGGTGCTGGAGCAGTTCCTGACCATCCTGCCCGCCGGGCTCCAGGCCCGGGTGCGGGAGCAGCAGCCGGAGAGCGGGGACGAGGCGGTGACCGTGCTGGAGGATCTGGACAGAAAGAGAAATGTAGTAGGAAGACACTGGTCTGATGTGGTTGTGGGTGACTGGGAACAAAATTTCCTAAGCTGTGGAGTTCTGAGGGAGCAGGGGAGAACCAGCATTCAGCAGGGGACTGAGCTTCTTGCTAAGCCAGCCCTGAAAAGAGGGAAAGGGAGGGAACAGATTCAGGGATGGTGAGTAAAGGTACGGAAGGCATTTTATCTTTCACACACAACCAGGAGCATCATGCTCCTTGCTTTAGGGGTCACTCGGAACTCTCACAGCAACAAAGAAGGAGGTGAAATCATTCCCAGTTTGCACACATGGAAACTAAGGTCAGAGAGGTTGTGTAACTTGGCCAAGGGCACACAGGCAATAGTGAAGTAACAGAAACAAGGCTTGATCAAATTTTGCTTTGCTTACCTTTCTAGCTGTTTCCCGGTGCCCCAGAAGGCAAATTAGGCTGTGGCTTTTCTTTTCCTAGTGTTTCGGGGGGATTTTTCTTGTGGATTCCTCAAGGAGTCCTTCTAAACCAGTTTAGTCTCTGTTAAATTCTCACTCAGTATCCTTAGGGCTTAATCACTATTGCTTGTCTCCAGGTTTCAGCCTGTGCTCTGGAACAGGAAATCCTTTTGCAGACAGTGACCCTTCAGACACTGGGTGAAGAATCTTCATACACATGGGTTCAGCCCCCAGTGGTCCAGTTCAAGGGCAAAGGACCTGAACCCCAGGAAGGAGGTGAGACAATAATTTCTCTAGGAGATTTGGACTAAAATGAACTCTGAGTGGTTATTTTTGTGGAGTATGACATGTTAATTCCTTGTGATGAGGGTTATTAAAGAACCTGATGAAGGCAACATTTTAGGTAATAATGATTAAAAAGCAGTAAGTCGTATCAGAACAGCCTCAGTAATAAGGTTGGTTTTAAATATCCATATTTGCAGGGTGCCTGGGTGGCCCAGTCAGTTAAGGATCTGACTTTGGCTCAGGTCATGATCTCGCTGTTGGTGAGTTCAAGCCCCCCATCAACTTCTGTGCTGACAGCTCAGAGCCTGGATCCTGCCTTGGATTCTGTCCCTCTCTCTGCCCCTCCTCCACTCATGCTCTGTCTTTCTCTCTCTCTCTCAAAAATAAATAAATATTAAAAATATGTATATCTATCTTTGAATATCTGCATATAGTCTAATAGCAAATGTTATTTCAAGAATTTTTATGCCTACATCTTTCAATAGATACTGATAGGATTAACCTTGTAAAACTATATTGACTGTTTTGAAAGTTATCCTTCATTATTACCCAGACATATATATGCATTGTACAAAGTTAGAAAATACATAGTAGCAAAATAAGAAAATAAAGCACCATATTCTATCACCCAGAGATTATTACAATTGATGACTTTTTATTCGAAATCTGTGTATTTTTTGTGTGCGTGTATATTTACATACACGTATGTGTACATACATATGCATACACATACATACCTTTTACCAAAAAATCATATTCTGCTTTTTTCTAACCTATTTTGTTCGCTAATGAAAATGTCAGTACATTTTCTTTTTTTTTTTTTTTTAATTTTTTTTAATGTTTTATTTATTTCTAGCAGAGAGAGAGAGAGACTGCATGAGCAGGGGAGGGTCAGAGAGAGAGAGAGTCACAGACTCTGAAACAGGCTCCAGGCTCTGAGCTGGCAGTCAGCACAGAGCCCGACACGGGGCTTGAACCCACGAACCGCGAGATCATGACCTAAGCGAAAGTCGGACGCTTAACCGACTAAGCCACCCGGGCGCCCCGAGTACATTTTCTTGTTATCTAAATTCAGTTCAAATTCAGATTGGCTCATTTTTTTCAAAAATGTATTTAAAGCTGATCTGTCCAACTCGGGGTAGAATCCAGGGCCACATGATACATCTGGTTTTTATGCCTCTTAATTCTTTGCTACATTTTTTTTTTTAATTTAAATATATTTTTTTTATTTCTAGGAGAGAGACAGCGTGAGCAGGGGAGGGTCAGAGAGAGAGGGAGATACAGATTCTGAAATAGGCTCCAGGCTCTGAGCTGGCAGTCAGCACANTACGTGTTTTCTGTGAAAATCTCTCTCTCATCAAAATAGCAATGCAGAGTAATTAGGAGTGTAGACTTGAGAACTGGACAGACACAGGTTCTTACCATGGTTCCACTGATAAATACCTATAAGATTCTGTACATTTTTATTTTATTTTATTTTTAATGTTTTATTTATTTCTAGGAGAGAGAGAGAGAGAGAGAGACAGTATGAGCAGGGGAGGGTCAGAGAGAGAGGGAGATACAGATTCTGAAATAGGCTCCAGGCTCTGAGCTGGAAGTCAGCACAGAGCCCGACGCGGGGCCCGAACCCACGAACCGCGAGATCATGACCTAAGCGAAAGTCGGACGCTTAACCGACTAAGCCACCCAGGCGCCCCAATTCTTTGCTACATTAAAACAATTCCCCACCCATTTTTTCCCCATAACCCAGACTTTTGATGAGCCCAGGCCAGTTTCCCTGGAGTTTTCTAATTGCTTCCTCATTGTATCATTTACTTTGCTGCCCATGTACCTTGTATTTGGTACAAACTGGAAATTGGATCTAAAGGTTTGAAGGACTTGAGGTAAACATTTTGGGCTAGAATTAATATTAGGTAACAAAAGACATTACTACCTGGGTGACCCACTATTGAAATCACTGACTTACATGATGACAGTGAACGGCTGATTTTTTCCCTGGTAGCTAACTCTGAGGTGTCACCTTGGCACTTTGCGAAGAGCTGGTTCCCCATCAACAAATTACAAATGTTTGATAATCCTTGTATAGGTCAACCATTTTATTAAGAGTTACAGGATGATTTTATAATTCTTTCATTCTTTCTATTATTAATTGGCATTCTTCAAAATGAAGCTTTCCTTCATCGGATATGTCTTTTTGGTCACTTCTTTCTACGCAGTCATGATTGATGCGTAGTTTTCCCCCTTTTATTTACCAATTTCCAAATTTAGAAAGTGGTTTATTAGGCATCTTACATGGCGACATGAGATTTTAGGACTTTATCTGTGTAGGTATCATTATGGACGTGGGCATTTTTATTGAGTTAGCCTATTTCAACCCACCACATTAAAAATCCACCCTTTATTCCACACATCTTTGGCTTGTGTGGATGTCTTCATTCTTGCTCCCATCTCTGTTATTTTTGAATGCTTGCTTTTGCTTTTTGAACAAAATAAATTGTTTCAGGCTCACCTGTATCTTCTCTATGCCCAGAGCCGCTGTCAACCATTTCTGAAGGAGCCTTGTTTTTTTTTTTTTTTTTTTTTAATGGAGAATGCTGTTGGCAAATAAGATCTGGGTGCGAGGAGTGTTCTTAATAACCTGGGTAACACTGCTTCTCAGACATTTCATGGGCAGAGCTAGGTAATATATATTTTTCCTAACCTGCATGAATTTATATTGATGTATTCAATTATGTTTTCCCATTACAATGTTCCATCAGTTTTCTATATTGTATTTGGCTTCTGCATTTTTTAAAATTCATTTCTTATGTCCTCCTTTGGTTGGTTGGTTTATTCATTCACTTGCTCACTTATTTACTTAAGGTTATGACAGTTAGTATCAGAGGTGATCCCAAGAAGAACAGGAGTGGGAATTGAGACACTAAAGGGAAAAAGCCAATAAAGTGCGTGAGTGAGCAGTCTGTCTTGGCTTATTTAGTTGTCTTTCTTGTTTTTTTCCCCTAACTTTTCAGCTGGGTTGATTTATATATTTTCATTCTCCTATTTACTAATATAAATATTTAATGCTATGAATGTTTCATTGAACACTGCTTTAGATGAATTCCAAATGTTTTGAAATGTAGGGTTTTCATTATTATTTTCTAGAAAATCTCAAATGCATGTTTATATTTTGCCTTTGAACTAACAGTTTTTTTTCTTTTAAAATGTTTATTTATTTTTGAAAAAGAGAGCTAGAGAGTGAGCAAGAGAGGGGCAGAGAGAGAGGGAAACAGAATCCCAACCAGGCTCCACGCTGTCCCCAACACGGGACTCCAACTCACGGAACTGTGAGATCATGACCTGAGCCCAAATCAAGTGTCAGATACTTAATCTACTTAGCTACCCAGGCACCTCAGTTGTTTGAGTTCAAAATTTTCAGATGAAAGAGCTTGTTTTCTGATTTCATTTTTAATTTATTGCATTGTGACCAGGGAATGTTTGTATTAATTCATATCTTTTATAATTTATTGTGGTTTTCTTATTACCCAATAGGTAGTTTTCATTAATGTTCACTACACATCTGAAAAGTTTTTTTGCATTCAGGATATAGAACTTCATATGTGTATGTATCTGTAAGATTATTGATTTCACTTTGTAAATCTTCTCTATCTTTATTTTTTTGTCCATTTCGTGTTTTTGTGACAGAGAGGACAATTAAAGTCTATTCTTTGTTGTGTCTGTTCCTTAAATTTTTTTAAGATTTTATTTTATTTATTTATTAAAAAAATTTTTTAATGTTTATTTTTCAGGGGGGATGCAGAGAAAGAGGAAGACAAAGAATCCAAAGCAGGCTTCAGGCTTTGACCTGTCAGCACAGGGCCCAACACAGGGCTCAAACTCATGGACCACAAGATCATGACCTGAGCCAAAGTTGGACACTTAACTGACTGAGCCACCCAAGAACCTCTTTTAAGATTTTATTTTTAAGTAATCTTTATATGTAAAGTATTTTTAAAAAAACAAACATTAAAAAGCATATACGTAAAATAGAGTTCAGTTTTGCTCTGTGACCAAATCTAATGTTTTTTAATGAGTAGTCATTTGCATTTATTGATATGGCTGTTAGGACAGTTATGTTTGATTTTTAACATAACTTTCTGGGGCGCCTGGGTGGCTCAGTCGGTTAAGCAGCTGACTTCGGCTCAGGTCATGATCTCACGATTCGTCGGTTCGAGCCCCATGTAAGGCTCTGTGCTGACAGCGAGCTCGGAGCCTGGAGCCTGTCTTCGAATTCTATGTCTCCCTCTCTCTCTGACCCTCCCTTGCTCATGCTGTCTCTATCTCTCTCTCAAAAATAAATAAAACATTAAAAAAAAAACCACATAATTTTCTTATGTTTCTTGTTCTACATGTCATCTATACACATATGACTATATAAACATAAGTACATTCATATGTGCACAGATACATGTGTGTGTACATGTACATATATGTGCTTTTCATCGTGTAGTTTGTTTACCCTTTTGTTTTTTAAGATTTTATTTTTAAGTAATTTCTACATCCAACATGGGGCTTGAACTCAACTCTGAGATCAAGAGTTTCATGCTCTTCCAACTGAGCCAGCCAGGCACCCCTCTCTTTTCTTTTTATTTATTTATTTTTATTTTTTTATTTTTTTTATTTTTTATTTATTTCTAGGAGAGAGAGAGACAGCGTGAGCAGGGGAGGGTCAGAGAGAGAGGGAGATACAGACTCCGAAACAGGCTCCAGGCTCTGAGCTGGCAGTCAGCACAGAGCCCGACGCGGGGCTCGAACCCACAAACCGCGAGATCATGACCTAAGTGAAAGTCGGACGCTTAACCGACTAAGCCACCCAGGTGCCCCTCTCTTTTCTTTTTAATTGTAGTAGTTCTTATACTAAGGAAGCTTTGTGATTTTGTGCTAATTATACATTAGTTATCAACTGCTGCTTAACAAATTACCACAAAGTTAGTGGCTTAAAGCTATGCAGGTTTTATCTCACAGTGTCTGTGGGGCAAGAGTCTGGGTTGGCTCAGCTGGCCCCGTCTTCTAGATCTCTTACAAGGTTGCAGTCAAGGTGCTAGGACAGAGGTCTCATCTGAGTTGTGACTGGGGAAGGATCTATTTCCAGCCTTACATCAATGCTGGCAGGACTCACATCTCTGTCAGACAGAGGGTCTCAGTCCCTTACTGGTTGCTGGCCGGGACTACATGGCTTCTCTGTATGGTAGTGGTGGCTTTCTTTATCAAAGGCAGCAAGCCAGCAAGGAAGAGCAGGATGGGACTTACAGTCTTATGTCACCACAGAAGTGATAGCTTGTCACCTTTGCCACACGCTACTAGTAACTCAGCCATACTTTGTTCTTTCTCACTTCCACACCTGTATTACTACCATTCCTTCTACCTTGACTAACACGAGAGACGATACGATATCCTCTGTTAACATCAACCTAAAATCAAGACTAACCTTTCCAGCCGTCTTATCTCTTACATTACTTTTGAGTTATCTTTTCTCCTCAAGTTGTGTGGTCTGTTGTTTCAGATGGTGGTGTGAGGACTGACAACGTGATGTTAGACGTGAAGCAGGAACTTTGTGAAGAAACAGAACCATGTGGGAAGGGGTCTGATGGACGGGATGGAGCTTTGTCTCCGCACACCAAATACACAGGGGACAGGGAGCCTGGTGGAAGTGTGGAAATGGAGGACGGGGGTGCCCCTGGTAGAAAAGCCTACACCTGTGAAGAATGCAGGAAAACCTTCACCTGGACAGGAGGCCTTCACATTCACAGGAGGACCCACATGGGAGAGAAACCGTACTCATGCACAGAATGCGGAAAGTCCTTCATCAGACGTGCAGAGCTTAGCCAGCACCAGGGGCTTCACGGCAAGGAAAAGCCTTATCACTGTCAAGAGTGTGGCAAAGGTTTCAGTCAGAAGGCAGGCCTCTTCCAACATCTCAAAATCCACAGTGGAGAAAAGCCATATCGATGTAGTAAATGTGGCCGGTGTTTTAGTCGGAGATCAGTTCTTACAAAGCATCAAAGCATCCACACTGGAGAGAAAGAATGTACGGACTGTGGAAAAGCATTCTGCCGTAGTTCAGATCTCACTGAGCATCAGCGATTCCACAAGGAGAAGCCTTATGAATGTAACGAGTGTGGGAAAACCTTCAGGCAACGTTCACATCTGATTGAGCATCAGCGGATTCACAGTGAAGAAAAACCCTATGAATGTAAAGTGTGTGGAAAAGCCTTCACTCAGTATGCAGGACTTAACCAACACCAGAGAATCCATACTGGGGAGAAACCTTTTGAATGTCCTGTGTGTGGACGAGCCTTTAGCCGGACCTCAGAACTCATAATACATCACAGAATCCACTCGGGGGAGAAACCCTATGAGTGTGCTGAGTGTGGAAAAACCTTTAGCGTGAGCTCAACCCTGGTCATACACCAAAGAAGCCACACTGGGGAGAAGCCCTATAAATGTGGTGAGTGTGGCGAAGCCTTCAGTCAGCGCTCAGGTCTTAATAAGCACAGGTCAGGAGGGAAGCATGGTAACCCCCCTGAGCCAGGAACATATAAGTGCGACGAGTGCGGGAAGACCTTTACTCGGTCGACTGGCCTGCGGAACCATAAAAGAATCCACACTGGGGATAAAACCTACCAGTGCCCTGAGTGTGGGAAGGCCTTCACCAGGGGTGAGCATCTTATCGAACACCAGGCGATTCACAACAAGGTGAAGCCATATCAGTGTAAAGAGTGTGGCAAAGCCTTCAGTCAGAAGACGGGTCTTAGTCACCATGTCAGAATCCACACGGGAGAGAAGCCTTTTCAGTGTCCGGAATGTGGGCGCGCCTTCAGTTGGAAGTCAGATCTCAAGAAACATAAGAGAGTCCACTCCGAGGAGAAACCCTATGCATGTGAGGAGTGTGGGAAGGCCTACAGGCAGAGAGCCACGCTGCTCCAGCACCTGAGAGGCCACACAGAGCTGAGCCCCGGCGATCCAGTGAGTGCGCTGAAGCCCAAGGCAGGAGCTCAGCCCCAACCCAGTACCAGAGAATCCGCTGCACCAGACACCCTGCCCAGTCATGAGGTGACAGCTGCCGGAGAATCCACGATTTCGTTTCTTAACTGAGATAAAATGCTTCTTGAACTTTATTTAATTTAAAGAAATCCTGAGGCACCACATTGGAAAGTTTTTATAGGGGCTCCTGGGTGGCTCAGTCGGTTACGTGTCTGACTTCGGCTCAGGTCATGATCTTACCATTCGTGAGTTCCAGCCCCATGTCGGGCTGTGTGCTGACAGCCTGGAGCCTGCTTCAGATTCTGTCTCCCTCTCTCTCTGCCCCTCCCCTGTTAGTGCTCTCTGTCTCTCTCTCAAAAATAAATAAACTTAAAAAAGAAAGAAAAGTTTTTTATAAAGGCCATATATGCTGGAAAAATTGAGAATTTAGAAAAATAAACGTCAACAAGAAATTTACCTGCCATTACCTTTATTAAATGCAACAAAGTATCAGTTAATAGGATGAAAAGTAAACAGGGGAGCTATAAAAAAAACAGTATTTTTCTACTGAATTCATGAGTTTTTATGTTGTGTGTTTTCAAACCATTTTGATTCCTCACTAGCTTTAACTTAGCCCAGCGTCGAGATTACTACTCTTACCGGCTGGGGACTTTCTAATGTCCAAGTTTAGAATGTGCGAGGTGAGTAGTCTGTTTCCCTCCCTCCCTAACCATGCCTTTGACCACAAGTGGATGGCCTGTGGACCCTTCCTGATCTCCAACCCCAGATTTAGTATTTCCTGGTGAAGAAAGGATGTGTTATACGGTCGTTTTTTTTTTTTTAATGTTTATTCATTTTTGAGAGAGCATGAGCAAGGGAGGAGCAAGGAGAGAAGGGGGCAGAGGATCTGAAGCAGGTTTCAGGCTCCGCAGGTGACAGCAGAGTGCAATGTGGGGCTTGAACTCACAAACCATGAGATCATGACCTGAGCCAAAGTCTGACACTGCTCAACCCACTGAGCCACCCAGGCGCCCCGAGGATGTGCTATAGTCTGAGTGATGTGGAAAGCATAAGGGTTTTGACCTCCAGTAGCTCAAAATTTTGGAGGGGTGGTGGGCCTTCTGACTGAAGCCCAGGGCATACTCTTACTGTGAGCACTCTCCTTGAGCTCACAACCCAGGACAGAAGGGAAGAGGGAAGATCAAACTTTTCATTCCAGCATTTTCGCCCTCCTGTTATAATTATACAACTGAAAACCTCTTTCGGAACTACCTGTGTCCCTCGGGCAATGACGTGAGGGACTTCTCTGCTGAACCTCACAATAGTCTTCACATACTGGAGAGTATGTTCTCATTTTTTTGTGCCATCCATGATGGAACAGCTACAGACCTGACACAATTTAAAGCTTAATCTGCATGACTAACATTGTCTTAACCTAGACAGCCAGCAAAAGAACAGTTCTGCTTCTCCTTTTCTTTGATTGATGTTTGCATCATGTACGTGTATCTCTTCCCATCCTTTTACTTTCCGCTTACCTGTATCATTAAATCTGAAGAGATTTTCTTGTAGATGGCATAGACTTGAGTGATGGGTTTTAATTTACCCCACCAACCTTTGTCTTATGATTGAATTGAAACGTTTTCCACTTAATGTAATTATTGGTATTTTAAGGCTTAAGTCTGCTATTTTTTTTCTTGTTCCCCATATTGCATTTCTGTGGTTTCCCTGCCTTCTTGTGGCTTACATGAATGTGATTTTGGAAGTCCATCCTGACTGGTTTATGTTTTTGAATGTATCTCTGTATAGCATCTTTGTCTTTGATAAAAGCTGTTATTTTGATCTGGCTTTCAATCCACATACACTCTACATCTTTCTCTCCAAGAAATACATCACTTTTTATTAATATTGATTTGAGAGCAACCATAGACACCAATACAAAACATTCTAAACAGACACAGAGGACTAAACAGAATTGGGTTCTTATCTAAGTCTGTGTTAATTTTTTGTTTCCAGTTACTCTTGTCTCAGGAGAGGCAGTGAGGAGGCCCAGCAGAGGGAGCCCTCCAGCACTTCTGGAGCTAAGAATGGCTGAGAGCAGGACTCTTATTCTCAGCCTATCTCCGTACTTCATATGGTACCTGACATGTATTCATGCCCCATGAATATGGAAGGAAGGAAAGGAGGTTCCTGAGCCTTGGGCAGCTCTGGCTTAGTTACCAGCAGCTGAGGCTGGAGACACACGACAAGGTGCTGATCCTGGAGCTGCTGTTATATAAGTGGTTCTTGACCTTCCTGCCTAAGGAGCTATAGGCCTAAATTCAAAAACATAATGCAGGGGAAGTTGATACCTTTGCTGTGGAGAAATCTGGTAAACAACACCTTAATCAAGTAATCCAACAACAGCTAGTAATGGGATGAACTGCTGTATTACTTCTGATACCATTGCTTCACCGAGGACACATCACTTCTGTGGTATTTCTGGCAAAAATGCATAACCTGAATCTAATTGTGGGGCAACATTAGGCAAACCCAAGTTTGGGGCAGAGGGTTCAACAGACCAACTGCCCTGTATTCTTCAAAAATATGTATGTTATAAGGTGGGGCACATGGGTGGCTTGGTCAGTTAAGCGTCCGACTTTGGCTCAGGTCATGATCTTGTGGTTTGTGGGTTTGAGCCCTGTGTCGGGCTCTGTGCAGACAGCTAAGAGTTTGGAACCTGTTTCAGATTCTGTGTCTCCCTCTCTCTCTGCCCCTCCTCCACTCATGCTCTGTCTCTCTCTGTCTCAAAAATAAATAAACTATAAAAAATTTTTTTAAATCTATGTTATGAGAGACAAACATTGGGGAATTGTAATTGAGATTAAAGAAATGTAATAACTAAATTCAGTGTGTGAGCCTAGGTTGGATCCTAGATTGGAATAAAATTTGTGTAAAGAACATTATTGGAACGATTGGCATAGTGGAAACATGGACTATACATTCAATAATAGGTTTGTCTCAGTGTTCAGTTTGAGTCAGGCATCATTTTGTGGTCCCAGGGCAGAATGTCTGTTTTTAGGACATGCATATGGAAGTGTTTGGGGTGAAGGTCTTGGTAACTTGGCAGCACGTCTTCAGGAGGTTGAGCAGGCTAGCCAATGACAAAGGTAAGGCATATGTGGGGGAGAAAACCAGTGTCAAGCATTAAGAACAGGCAAATCTCAGTAAAAGGGATATAGCACTCATTATGTTGTTCCTACAATTTTTTCTAATGAAGGTTGGAATAAAAACAATACCCACACCACAACAAACCCAAAGAGTGAGTATCAAGGATCGGTTTTTATTAGAGAATCGTAGAGAGTATGTAATAAGCCAGGACAACTTATGGAAGGAGGGCGGTAAATGACAGATGTCTCAGAGTAGGAAAGGCTGGAACGTCCTCGGGGAAGTACTAGTCTGTATACTTTGGGTTGCTTTGACAAATCTACTGTAACACTCAAAACTTCACATTTAAGAAAGTTTTTCTCACTGGGTTCTTTCCAACAGAGACCAGTTTGCCCTGAAGTGTTTTCTTGTGGCATCTACATTTTTTAAAAATATCTTTTACATTTATTTATTTTTGAGAGACAGATCACAAGCAGGGGAGGGGCAGAGAGAGAAGGAAACACAGAATCTGAAGCAGCTCCAGACAGCTGTCAGCACAGAGCCTGATGCGGGGCTCAAACTCACAAACTGAGATCATGACCTGAGCTGAAGTCGGAGGCTTAACTGACTGAGCCACATAGGCGCCCCAGCATCTACATTTTCTACTGCATGATTATCAAGCTTCTTTCCAGACTCAGGACTCCTTTAAGATGAACTCACACACCACTCACCTCACAGACACTGAAATTCTCCTAGTGGCCATTCACCTCGCTAAACATATGTGAGGTGCAGCTTTAGAGCTGCAAGAGACCAGAATGAAATGCACTCACTCCTTTCTCAGGCCTTTGTTAGGTGCCAACGCTGTGCCAACCATAGAAGGGAAATGATGCAAAAAAAAGTTTAGCAGATGCGAAATGGGTGTGCTTCCAAGATGAGAAGTGTGTCCTTGGAAAGAATTATTTTATTTTTATTTCACTCAGAAAACAGAAGCTTGATTTGCAGCATGTCCCAGACCACTGCTCCTGACTTCCTACTGGATTTACCACGTTTATAGGCAACATAATTCCCTGTCAATAATGAAAAACTGGCCCAACTGTTAAGAATATTGAATTTAAGTTTCCCTTAGGTTATCTAGTCTTCTAATTTGTCATGTCACTTTTCTGCTCTACTCTCTTTGATCCTCCAAAACTAAGACTCTTCACACTTTCCTGGTCATAGAGAATGTTTTTCCTGTTTCTCTCTCTCTCTCTTTGAGCTTATTTATGAGAGAAAGAGCGGGGGGGGGGGGGGGGGGGGGGGGGTGTCGCTGGGGAGAAAGAATCCCAAGCAGGCTCCATTCTGTCAGCACAGAGCCTGATGCCGGGCTCCATCTCACAAACTGAGATCATGACCTGAGCCAAAATCAAGATTCGGACGCTTAACCAACTGAGCCACCCAGGTGCCCCTCCCCTGTCTCTTTTTGTAGTTTTTACATCATCTCACGTCTGTAGTGAATGGAAATCACTTCAGTTACAGGCCAATGATATTATCCCCATGTTCCCCATCCATGTAAATACAATGTGTTCTTAAAAGAATTGATATCTCAGGGGCGCCTGGGTGGCTTAGTCGGTTAAGCGTCCGACTTTCGCTTAGGTCATGATCTCGCGGTTCGTGGGTTCGAGCCCCGCGTCGGGCTCTGTGCTGACTGCCAGCTCGGAGCCTGGAGCCTGTTTCAGTCTGTGACTCCCTCTCTCTCTGACCCTCCCCTGCTCACGCTGTCTCTCTCTCTCTCTCCTAGAAATAAATAAAAAACATTAAAAAAATTAAAAAAAAATTGATATCTGTAGGAGCATCAAAAGTTATCAAAGGTAGTGTGAGGCCTTCAGACTCCACTCAAATGTAAATTGCCATTAGCTCAACTTTAAAAAGTTGAGATATAGTTGACATATAACTTCATCTAAGTTCCGGGTCTACAACACACTTCAGTATTTGCACATGTGGTGAAGCAGTCACCACGGTAAGCATAGTCAGCATCCGTCACCTTATGTAGTTACAGTTTTTTTCATTTAATGAGAACATCTAAGATCTACTCTCAGCAGCTCTCAAATGTGCAATAAATA